TATAAAGTTATTTAGTCATAGATGAGCATTCAGCGATTACTTTTTGAGTTTTATTCAAATCCTCCCACTTGATGAAATATTTGGTAAAAAAAAACCACAAACGTAGTTCTTGTCTCCCTTTGTAACCAGTGTTTACAACGAGGATCTGGAGAATTTATTGTGCAATATCAGCAGCACAGATGCCGACGGGCAGAACTGTGGCCCCCCCAGGACGAACAGAACTGTGCCCCCCCCCCCAGGACGAACAGAACTATCATATCAAGTGTGAAGTCATAAATATTTCATTGGACGCTTCTTGGAAGGTCAAAGCTTCTGCCAGCAGTCTTCAATGGAGGAGGGGTGTGTGTGGAGGGTGTGTGTGTGTGGGGGGTGTTGCTCGTCGTACTCCAAAGAATGCAGCTCGTGCATGCTTTCATCGACCCCAGGCCTTCCAGCCAATCACAGCCCACTACTTACTCTGGTCCCCCACCCCTGTCAGAGGACCAATCAGGATCGGAGGATGGTGCTGGGCAGCAGAGGTTGACTTGGGGAGCTGCTCCCACCCTGACCTCAGGTCGCTCCCCGCGTGGACGCCACAGGGAGCGGGTTAGGTGGACTGAGCGCACGTGCAGGTTTGAGGACGGGGGTCCTCTGTATGCACGCGGCATTACCAGCCCCGGACAGATGTACTGTGGGACACCTCCGTGGGCAGCCACGTCACTCCTCTCCTCATAGCAACAGTGACCTACATGTTTCCACGCAGTCCGCCCCGCGTGCTGCTGCACACCACTTCCTCGTGTTTCAGAGCAGCTCGGGTGTTTTATATTTAATTAAAGCAAGGCGGTTTTACCCATTCTTCTTAAATATATTAACAAAAAGGTCTATGAATCTCAGTTAATATAATTAAAACTAAACACAAGCGCTTCTTTTTCCACATTAGATTTTATTGAACACATGATGCATTCAGGAACATGGGGACAAATCTCAAACGCCTCAGCACAGTATCAAACTAAACATATTTTATTGAAGTTACAGTTAAAAACAGCTTCGAACAGAACACAGGGATAATTTAGCTGAATATTACCTGGCAGAAAAGCTCTAACTGCGGTGGGAGTGGGACGTGGAGCTCTTTTTTCCCATTTTCCCCCCGTGAAGTGAAGGCACCAGCACTAGCAAGGCAGTAGCTTGCGCAGTCATCTCCATAGCGGGCAGTGTGTCAACCCAACCAACAGCACAAACTACTACCTCAGCCAGGACTGGTCTAACACGAAGCCACGGTGGGAACAAATCAAGCAAACCCACCCGACTGGAGAAGAAAAAGCTTTCCCACGCAGCCGGACACGTCCACCCGTCCCTGCTTCCAGCCTGTACTGAAGCAGGCTTGAAATAGGAGGGAAACCCCGCCCAAGACCAGCCCCTGTCCCTCCTCTTCCTCCTCTTCCTCCTCAGTCCTGCTCTCCTCATGTGACCCGCCGAGGAAGAGCATGGTGAAGCAAATAAAGGCTCGGGGACTCCCACAAGGACTCCGGAGACAACTGAGGGGAACCTAAAACGTTAAAATATGGTTTCTTTTCTTCAAAATGTATTTTTTTTAAATATTGCAAATAAAAACAACATCTGCACCCATAAAATGGCTTTACCATTTAGAATAAAAATGATCTTATATGAGAGAATAGGATTATTTCTTGTAAATGACAATTGCATTGGAGTATTAAATCAATAATACTACACTGCTTTAAAGGGATAGTTCAGATCTTCTGAGTCTGCCTGAAGTGGAAAGCTTCAAGCATCTGGGAGTCTTGTTTGTTTGGTGCTGATGATCCGGATCCCGGATCAGATCTGTCTCACTACAGGAAATCTCCCAATTTACAGTGTCTGCTATGTTCTAATCTACAAAAGTGTAGAGCTGTCACATGAATGAAATTATTTTTAAACTGGATCTCGTTAAAACAATATATATATA